TTACTAGAAATAATGCCCGTTGCGGAAATAAATACACTGGGATCTAGAAAGAGGCTCTGGGAGAGTGCTCTGGCTTTGGGCAAACAGTGTCAGTCTGCTTTTAAAACATGAACCTGGGACCTGCACACCACCAGAATACAGCAGGTTCCATATGCAACTGACATTCCAACTGCCTTGCGGGGGGGGGGGGGGTTTGAGGTGTGGAATGGAGTGAAGTCCAATCAGCTTCCATATGCAAAAGACCAGGTTGTCGCAGCAGTTGTGGTGTGGGCGGGACCCGGGCTTTGCCTTCTGATTGGTGGCGATATATGCTGAGGAGCAGTGCCATCAGCCATACACTAAGGGAGTGCATTTTAGAATTAGAACTTTGGCACCCACTATTCAATTATATATAAGGAGAGATGTGCAGTAAGGGCAAATAGCCATAGGTTGTTATTATTTTTGTATCCTCTATTAATCTCTTGTTATGCTTTGCACTGAATAAAGATCATTCATATTTGTAATTGTCTCTGATGTGGTAATGAACTCCAGGGCTAAATCTCGTGTCTAGCGCTGAGCACAGAGCTACCACTGTGAGAGTAATTGTGTGCACCTCTGAGTTAGAGTTGCTGATGTGTTAAGTCCCAGATGCCAGCTAAGAGACTGAATCTCTGCTCTTAGGCTGGGTGGGGACCCCTTTGAAGAGATTCTGGTGGCAAACTGTTGTGAGTCCTGAGAGAGTACAGACTGTCTCGTAGATTTTGTTTCATGAGCTGAAATACAGGGTTCCCTCTCACCCCTGGATTGGGCTGAGTGGGTTTAATCCTATACAGACGGGCTCGTTGAGGCCATCAGATGTTTGGGCCAGGGTCTCAGCGGAGGAGGCTGAAATGGAAAATGGAATGCAAATGTCTTAAATTTGTTGGCAAATCAAGTTCAACAACCACTTCATTGATTTTCCACTTCACTGGGAACGGCCCCACAAACTTCCACCCCAGCTTGTGGCTGGGTTGGAGGCCCTTAATGTTTTTGGTGGACATATAGACTGAGTCCCCAGGCTGGATGTCCCAGCCATCTGAGCGTTTCTTGTCTGCCTGAACCTTGTAAGTTTGCTTGGCATCATTCAAAGTTTTACACAACACCGGCCAGGCATCCTTGAGACGTTTACACCAATCCCCCTCTGGCAAAGCAACGGGAGAAGCGGAGCCTTGTAACCATACACCGCTATGAAGGGGGCCATGGAGGAATGACAGGCATTGTTGTAACAAAACTCAGCAAGGGGGTGGAGCCCCTCCAAATCGTCCTGTTGGAAGTTCGTAAAACACCTGAGGTATTATTTGAGGGTTTGATTGACATGTTCCGTTTGCCCGTACTTCTCGAGGTGATAAGACGCTACTTAAGCCCTGTTCCACCCCCAGAAGCCTTATCAGCTTCCCCCAAAACTTGGAAACAAATTGCGCCCCCCCCATCGGAGATTATCTTCCAGGGCAAAGTGTGTAACTGGAAGACCTGGTTAAGGAAAGCCTTAGCCAGAAGGCGAGCCGTAGGTAGCGTCTTAAATGGGATAAAATGCGCTTGCTTGGAAAACAAGTCCACCACCGCCCAAATCACTGTTTTACCCCTGCTGGGGGGTAAATCCATGATGAAGTCCATGGAGATAACTTCCCATGGTCTACTGGGTGTGGGCAGGGGTTGCAGGACACCTGGCGGCTTCCCCGGGCGTGCTTTGCACATAATGCAGGTTTCACACGATTTCACAAAGAGGGAAAGATCCTTCCTCATCCCGGGCCACCAAAACTGGCGCTTTAGCAGATGCAACGATTTGACAAACCCCATATGCCCCACCAGTTTATTTCCATGTACTACGGACATTATCTCGTCCCTCAACGCTGAAGGCACAAACAGTTTGTGGCTGCAGTACCAACAGCCATTGGCCCTTTCTTCCACCTCCCCCTCTTTCTCCAATTTGAGACAATCAGCATCAGAAAGGGCAGAAGCGAATTTAATTTCCCAACAGTCCTCAGACTCCGGGGGTTGGGCTTTTGCCTGGCTGCATGTCGTCACCGCCCTTCCCAACTGTGAGTGCGTGAACATAGATTCGAGCACACCCTCCCTTTGACTATCATGCTGTGGCAGGCGGGATAACGCATTGGCCAAGGAGTTAGATTTCCCCTGGAAATGGGACAGGGTGAAGTTAAACTTGGAGGGACTCCCTGGGTTCCTGATCCCGGGCAGGTCGCAGCGAAGTGGCCTGCTTCGCCACATTTCAGGCAGAGCCCTTGTTTCATCCGCTGCTCCCGAACCCCCTCCTTCTGCTTCAGAGGGGTCTTGGGTTTCAGGGACGTCAAGACAGTCTTACCCACAGTTGCAGCATTGTCGATCCTGATAGTTCTTAAGTGGCTCTCAGCATCGGCCGCTTCGCGCATCCAGGCATTCAGAGACACAGGGAAGACACTGCGAAGGACCGTCTCCCTGATCTCGGGGTGCAGACGCAGGCGGTATTGCTCGGCCATCATTCCATTGGGCCAACCCTGGATCTTAGCCGCCTGGCGCTTGAACTTCTCAGTATACTCCCGCACTGACTACTTCCCTCACTTGAAGGTGCGTAAGTAAGCCCGAGCTTGCTCACCAGCATTCAGGTCTTGATACTGAGCTCGGAGAGCCCACATAAAGGCATCTACCGACTGGCGTTCCGGTCCATCAGCATTGTGCAAACTCATGTACCAATCAGCTGCCTCAACCCTCAACCAGGATGCGATATAGTCCACCCAGTGTTCTTAATCTGGAAACAGGTGGCCCCAGTTCACAATGAACTTCTGGGCGTGAACCACAAAGAACGCCAGGTTCTCGGGGGTTCCATCAAACGTGGCATCCAATGGCTCCGTAGGGCGGTGCACTTCCCGGCCCAGTTGTGCTGGCACCACGTTCCTTGGAGGGAGATTTCCAGCTTGGGCAGACAGGACCCATGGCGGCACCTGAGCACAGTGTGCTGTACTTCCCGCTGCACCGCTTCCACCATCATCCCCGGCAGATTCCGGAACGACTCCTCGATCATCTGCATGAGTTTATCGTAGCCCCACTTGAGTAACTCCAGCTGGGTGCCTATGAACTCCTCGGCCTCCTCGCCCCTCTCGGTAGCACCGCTATCCTCCGTTTCATAGCTCATCTCCCGTGGAGCCTGATCGCAATGACTTTCACATCGCGGCCCCGAAGGGGAAGCAAGAGTCCAGGTTTCGTGAGTATCCACGTTGAACTGTCCCCAGCGCAGCCCCTTCAACCTCGTAGTCACTCTGGCTGTTGCCCCTCCGAAGGGCTCCAATAGAGGGTTGGCCCCGTCCATCCACACACCCAGTGGGATGGAAGCCGTCGCTGCGGACGTAATGCTCGACTCCCCAAGAGGGACTAGGCTATCCTCCCTGGTC